TTTTTTTTTTTTTTTTGGTACCGGGGATCAAACTCGGGACCTTGCACTTGTGAGGCAGGTGGCGGAACCACGGAGCTAAATCCCCGGCCCAAGAGAAGAGGCTCATTTTTTCCACACTGGGGCTGGTGGATAGAGAGCAGCTTCAATTAGTGGCTCCACTGCTGGCAGGAGGTTGAGGCCGGTGCCCAGCTCCACCTCCCCGCTGTCCTGCCCTGACTGTCTGGCTGTGGCCTGCTGCCCAGTGAAGGGGAACCCTGTCCTGCTGGCCTCTGCAGTGTCTTCCATCCCCACCTGGTGCGGCAAGGCCCAGTTGCATTTTCCTTGGGTGCAGACCCAGCCCTGTGCCACCACCCTTGCCTGTTACTGAAGCCTGGGGCGGCCGGGTCTGGGCACAGGGTCATCACGGGCACAGGCTCCCCACTTCCTTGGCCCACTTGGTTGCCACAGTTTCCGTTGTGAGGAGCGCGAGGATATTGCGGGGGCTGGAGAAGGAAGCAAGGACGCTGGGCGGACTGGGTCGGACGAGAGAAGCCCTGTGTGCTTCCTGGGGGTGGACGCGGCGTGCTTGGTCCTGAGGACGCGCTAGGGGCTTGCCATGGCGTTCACACGGCGGGGACGGCTTCGTGGCTGAAGCTGACCGTCCTCTGCGTGCTAGGATTGGAACTGCCCTGTCCCCAGACTCGGGAGGAGACAGGTTTTTCTGCCAGTTGCAGCACACTTTAAATCATGTAAATCGCCTAAATGGCGACTGATTCCTCCAGGGTCACAGGCTTTCCAAGCGCAGGAGGAGCCTTGGAGACTAGACTAATTCCTCCATTCGGTCACTCGAGTACTTTTTCTTCATTATTTAGAGAATACTTTCTTAGTTTCTGTATTGAGTACGTGCATAGCAGCTTTGTACTGGGCCTGGGCTGGACGTAGAGACTAAGGGGCGAGGGGAGCAGAGCCACGAGCAGCACCCCATGCCAGGCTGCCCTGTCGCACTCCTCCGCTGCCTGGCCGTGGCTGGGACCGGGACTGGGTTGGCACACGTCTCTGAGAACCTTGAGAAGTAGGTGTGGGACAGGCAGCAGGTTTTGGTTTCCTGGGCAAAGTGGAAGTGGTGAAGGTTACAGAGGAGGGGGGATGAGGGAGAGAGGAAGACCAGGGCAAGCCAGGCATGGTGGGCACACCTATAATCCCAGCACTCAGGCTGAGGCAGGAGGATCGCTGTGAGTTCTGGGTCGGTCTCAACTATGGAGTGAGACCCTGTCTTAACCCCTCCCCCCCAAAAAAAGACCAGGGTTCAACACGGCGTGCAGGGTGGACCCAGCTCCGCACTGGGTGTCCCGTGCTGGAGATGACACCCCGCTCAGGTGTGGGGATGGTCTGGAGACCCCAGTGGGGCCAGGGAGTCCTGCCGCCTGGTGGTGTGACCGTGGAACATGTGGCCCACGTCTGTGGTGGTGCCTGTGTCCAGCACCTACTGCGTCCACGCCGCCCACGGCCGCAGCATGGCAATAATGATTGGTGTGCACCTTTCCCTCTGTACCTCGGCGCGAGGGCTGACTCGAAAACAGCACCACGTCCTGCCGGCAGCCCACTTCCCATCTCAGGGTTGCTGTGCCTGTCCTCTGACCACACGGGCAGCCTCGCTGGGGAACTGTGCTGTGCCGCCTGCCTGGTGTGGGGCTCCCTGACTTGGCACAAGGACGAGCAGCTGGGCACTCAGCTCCTGGCACAGGCATGCTGGTAAGCGTGTGAGGGGTGACAGAAACATGTAGTGCTTAAGTTTTAAAAATGTACTGTAGTGAAAGATGCATTGCCAGAGACCAAAGGATCCGTGTGTTCCGAGGGCTGCTGAGGGGTTGGAGGGTCAGTGGCCCGAGCCTTTTACTGAAATGTGTCTTTTAGTTTAAGCGTCCACCATATGTTTGAGACCTTTCATTGATTACCCATTTATAGAGATTTCAGGCAAATAAAACCATCAGTGTGTCCTCAGCCACCGGATCTGGCACGGCGTGATTTCCAGTTCTTCTCCATAGTCAAAATGACCATGAAATTGGAACTGCTGAGTCCACGCAGGACCCCAGACCGCCAGGACAGCGCCACGAAAGACGCTCGGGAAGGAGCACTGCGGAGCTGCCGCAGGAAGGGGCGAGGCCCGTGCCAGGAGTGTGTTCAAAGCAAGGAGGAGGGTTTGAGAGACATCGCAGCTGTCTGTTACTGTAATTTATATAGTTTTCAGTTTACACAATTACTGCATTTTTTGATCACTTTTCAAACCTGAGTGTCACGGTGCAAATTTCCTTTTTCATGGAAGGAAGGACAGGCAGGTAGTGTAGACAATTAAAAGTGTGTGGGGCAGCCTGTGGCTGACAGGCTCAGGGAGACAGGAGGAGGACGCCCTCCTGGGCCACCCGGGTGGGGACCTCTGGACCTTCGGGCAGCTGAGGCCTGGTGGCCTGCAGGCGGCAGGCGGGTGAGGGCCACACATGCTCTCCTTGCCTCCCCACCTTTGGCCTTGCTTCACCCACTTCCGGGTCCTCCGTGGCTTTCTCTGCCCCTCTGCTCAAGTCCTCCCGACACTGCAGCCTCTCCCTGTGGCTGGAAGCAAGCCGCTCTCTCCAGACTGCTGTGTGGACCCAGCTACCCCGGGAGCTACCCCAGGCCTGAGTCTTCCTCCTCGTCTCCTGCCAGGTCCTCCTGGCCTCTGCTGGGGGACTGGACACTCTCAGCCACCACATCCCCCCGTGCTTGGGGACACAGGAAGTCACTGCCATTGCTGCCCCTGTGCCAGGCCTGGCCCCAGCAGCCCTGGATCTGCTCCTGGTGTCCTTGAGCTGGGAAAGGAGGGGGTCTTTGGGGTCCTCGGGAGCTGGCCTAAGCTGGAGCCTACCCTGCCCGGCCCACTGGCCCAGGTGCCTGCTTCCCATGTGTGGGGTTGGGGTCAGGGTCACTGGGAGCCCAGCTGCGGTAAAAGTGGACCCTAATTACACCAAAGCACTTTGGCACCCCTTGCTCTGTAGGCCACAGGTGTCACTTGACAGACAAGGAAACTGAGGCATAGTGCTGCAGAGTATCTTCCTCAAGGATGTGGGCTGTTCCAGTCCTGAGTCTCAAGCATGCACGCGCACACACACACACACACACACACACACACAGACTTGTGCCTGGGCCCTGCCAGCCCTGGCCGTCACTCTGGCGTCCTTCATGGGGCCACCCTGTGGGCTCAGTGGGGTCCCTGTAGGGGGGCCTCTTCCCTTCCTGGTGAGGTTCCTGGAAGTGGGGGGTCAGGGACCCGGCCAAGTCTCGCCCAAGGCTGCAGGGCGGACAGAGAGGGTTTTGTTTGAGTTTTGGGTCCTGGCCAGTCTGATCGGTGAGAGTTCCTCTGGACCACTTACACTTCCCTCACGAAGCCAGACTGGGGTCTCTCCTTGGTTTTGTGGCACTGGGCTCTCTTTTTTGCAAACTGTTGGTATTTTTAGTGCCTTTTTCTATCTGTATTTTGGCCTTTTGATCTATCTTAGAAGATAATCACAATACTAGTGTACGTTTACACTAAATACATAGGTGCTGTCTGAGATGCATGTTGTGATTTTCTTACTAGTCGTTGTAATCTTGCTTATTTAAATTTCACTTGATCCATTCTTTTGCTTTTGCACACTTAGCTCCTTGAAACCCATTCGTCATTGCTCTTTCTGCTTCCGAGGCCCCCATCCCCAGACTTCAGCCCCGTCCCTGTGCCTGACCCAGGCTCTGGTGACCGCCTGGCGGCCTGGACACAGTCTCTCAATGCCTGAGTCCCGGTGGCTTCAGCGCATTCTGATCTCATGCTTTCCTCCCAGGTACCGCTCTGTCCTTGTGAGTTCATGGCTGCGCAAACACGTGGAATCCTGCACTCACCACTGCGGGCAGGCTGTGGGCCCACTGACTGCTGCTGCAGGAAGAGTTTCCAGGCACTCAGTGAGAGGCCTAAAGAGGGTCACTGGGCAGGGTTTTTGTCTCGTTTGGTTTGAGACAGGGTCTCTATGTGGCTCAGGTGGCCTCCAATTCGTGGCGATCCTCCTGCCTCAGCCTCCCAAGTGCCGGGATCACAGGCGTGCACCTCCACGCTCCCTCAGGCAGAGACTAGATGTTGGCCCTACAGAGAGAGGAGCCTGGTCAGGGCTGGGTTCATGAGGTTGTGGGGTCTGCAGGCTGAGCCGCAGCGGCGTCTGTCCAGGCTCACCAAGTCAGAGCCAATGCACCCCCCTCATAGAAACTGCCCAGCTCGGGGGTCCTCATGCCCTGAGGGGTTGTTATTGGCCAGTTTCTTGACAGGGAAAGAGGCTCAGTGCCTTTTGTGTCCTGAAGGTGTGGGGGTTTTTGTTTTTGTTTTTTTCCAGTTTTCCTTAAAAGTACAATTTCAGCCGGGCATGGTGGCGCACGCCTGTAATCCCAGCACTTGGGAGGCTGAGGCAGGAGGATCACTGTGAGTTCAAAACCAGCCTGGGCTACACAGTGAGTTCCGGGTCAGTCTCAACTACATAGTGAGACCCTGTCTCAAAAAACAAAACAAAAGCACAATTTCACAATTGCAACTTTCCTCATCTCCTTTCTACCGACCTTGATTCTTTCCTCCTCTGCCTGATGTCATTGTTCACCCCTCCTGGGCACCCCGGCCCCTCCAGGATCACAAGGTTCCAGCAGAGCATCTGGGGGCAGCTTTTGGGCTGCACTGGGCTCCTAACTGATGGCAAAGCCCTCTGCTCCAGGGCCAGTGTCAAGTCGGAGCCAAAGACTGGGGTGTGGGGAGACTCATGCCCTGGCTAGCAGACCCTGAAGAATCCTTCTTCCTGAGACAGGCTGAGCGGTGGTCCCCCAGCTGCTCGCCCACAGCCATCTTAAAAACATTGCTTCCTGTCCTGTCCACCTTAGTGCAGACCCAAACCTGTGCCTGGGGAGGAGGCTCAGCACCACCCTGCCATTCAGGGACAGGAAAGCAAGTCGGGCAGCCCTGCCTCAACTTCCCTCCTGGGAATGCACATTCTGTTGGTGAGGGGGCGAGCTACCACTGATCTTTAACAATGAGCCACTACTTTTTTAAAGTATTCTAAGAAATACAATGTCCTTTCTAGTAGGACATGATGATGTACTCCTGCCAGCCCAGCTCTTGGGAGGCAGCAGGATCGTCACAGGTTGGAGGCCAGCCTGGGGTACACAGTGAGTTCAAGACCAACCTAAAGTACATAGTGAGACCCCCATTGCAATAATAAATAAATATGCTTTCCAGAAGACAGGCTTGACTCTTAGAGGGGGAGAAGCTGTTCATGGACACCAGGACAAGTTTGTTGATTGCTTTTTGTTGGGTACACTAGGACCAGTTACTTTCTAATGAGTTGTACAGTACACAGTGTGGACCGTGGCATGGCGGAGCCAGGGCTGGCAGGACGCTGGGAGGCAGGGGCCGCATCCCTCCCCTCTCCAGACACCTGGACACCTGTTGTGTGATCCGACTTATTCACCCCAAGGTCACTATGAAGGTCGGTGACATATGTGACTGCACTTAGTTATTTTGTTAATTTATTTGGTGCAGAAACTGGAATATAGCAATGTGAGGAAGACAGGAAGGAGGGAAGTGGGACCCTGGAACCCAGCAAGGATCTGAAGGGAGAATTGAATCCCACGGGAGAGCAAGGAGAGAGACTTCAATGAAGAAGATGGAGGTGGCAATGGCCCTTTCTTCCTGAGCTCTGACTCACAGCCAGGGAACAGCAGCTCAAACCTGCAGGCCCACAGTGACTGCTGGCAACCCCAGTGCCCTCCATGGAGAGATGCACCAGTGGAACTGAGCCGATCACGCAGTGGGCTGCAGTGGCTGGTGAGTTACTCGGGTTCAAACATCCTCCAGGAGAGGGCGGTTGACTGGTAGCCATCTTGGAGAGGGTGAGGTGGAACTGAGTTCAAGTTGGCAGGAAGTCAAGGAGCCAAGTTCAAGCCAGCAGGAAGCACATGGCTCCAGCCTCCCATGAAGAAATCAGTCTGAGCTTCAGAACTAAAAGTGCAGGCCTGCTGGGATTATCCACAACCCCACCACAAAGTTACAGCTGGCTTGTTGGGATTAATCAACATGGATCTGGGCTCTGTGTACCAGTTTGTCTACCAGTGACAGCAGCAACATGCCCAGAAGTGGACATCTTATTTTCTTATCTTTTCTTGTTTTAGATTTTGTTTTGTTTCTGGTACCAAGGATTGAACTCAGGACCTTGCATTTGTGAGGTAGGCATGGTGCCACTGAAGTAAATCGTCAGTCCTTGTTTTGTTTTGTATTCTTGATGGTTCTGGTTTATGTAGTATTTATTTACTTATTTTTGTGTATATGTGTTTTTGAGACAGGGTCTTGCTATGTAGCCTAGACATGTGGTGATCCTCCTGCCTCAGCCTCTTGAGTGCTGGGATGACAGGCGTGCCCCACCACACCCGGCTGTGACTGTACCCTGTAACCCATCAGGCAGCCTCAGGGTCTTACTGTTTTGTTGGCCTCGGTTTTTCAGCTCCTGTCCCACCACCAAACAGCCAGTCTTAGCTCACTGCCTCTGATGCCCACACTGTCACTAGCTCTCCAAGGTGACCTTGAAGCCCCAGGGTGACAGCATTTAGACACTGAGAGTTACAGTGGCCTCAGGAACCGTGGTGTCCAGTGACTCTCGGGGCCTGAAGTGGTCCCTGCCACGTCTCTAGTGAGACTTAATTTATTGGAAGCTGGAAGTTGGGGACCCCAGGGGGTGCATCTGTCCCAACGCCGGCCCATCTGGGCCCTGGGTGATCTCGTGTGAGCTCTGGGGACTGAGCAGCCTCTGCCCCTCGAGCACTGTCCGATATCCACAGCTGGGTCCAGGGTGCAGCACCCTCAGCAGAGGGCTCTGAGCAGCTGTGCCCACGCCTGCCACCGCTCTTGGTAAAGAGAGCAACTCCCGCCCCGGCTGGCAGCAACACTGAGCAGGGCAACAGGCTGTGACTCTAGCGCCCAGGTCCCGTGGGTGCTCCCCCCCACCGTGTGGTCCCCAGCTCCTGGGGCAGAGCCCGGCCTGGAGATTGTTTTGCAAATTATCCACTAGAGAGAAGGCTCAGGAGGAGCCGCAGGGGAAGAGCGGCCTCGGCACCGTGCCAGCAAGGAGGAGGAAGTATCTCCACCCGCCCGCCCTGCCCCGGGGTGGCACTGCTGCAGCCAGGCCCAGAGAGCAGTGACTGGGCGGCTCCTGTGAGCCCAGGACAGCCCTGTGTGCTGCTACATCCGCCCTGCACAGCTGTGGGGCCGGGGCACTGGCTGGTGCTGAGGGCGCCCCCTGGCCCTGCCTCAGCCGCCCCAGGAGACTGCTGCTTGGCCAGCTCTGCCCTGGCCCCCTCCTTCTGCTCCAGAGTCCCAGACCACCTTGCCCACCTCGAGCCCACCTGCTCCTGCTCTTCTGAAGAGGCTGGGCCTCTGGTCTGTGTGTGCTTAGAGGCGAGGACACCCAGCGCTCCCGGGTCTCTGACATGGATGTGGGCGCCTCCAGAGTGACTCAGAGGAGCGAAGCTCAGGGGACCCCTGGGGCCTGTGAGCCTGCAGAGCCTGGCTGGGCCGGACATCCCTCCCCACTCCTGTTTCCGGGCCCTGGTCTCTGGTGCAGGCTGGGGCGGGGCCTCTGCCTCCCTGGGATCAGAGCTCCAGCTGCCTATGTCTTCCTGCAGAAAACCCGCCAGCCAGACTGGGGGATGGGATGAGGCCAGGGCCTTAGCAGGAGCCTCAGAGCGGAGTTTCCAGGGGAAGCGAAAGTGGACGCCCAGGCCAGCTGCCGAGCCCCGGCCACAGCTGGCTCTGCCCACAGCCCAGAGCCAGTTCACTCCGAGCCAGCTCCGTCCACCCCCAGTGGACCACATGACCTGGCCCCGCGTTGGCACTGCCGCCACTGCATGCCCCGAGGCCTGGCCAGACTTGGCACTTAGACCCCAAAGAGCACCCCAGAAGAGGCAGATGAGCCACTGCCCTGGCCTAGCCCTGGGACACCCAGGAGGGGACAGAGCGAGCCGGTGGGAAGGACGTCCCAGGACCAGTGAGGCCAGCCGCCACTCCTGGGGAGGACAGGCCTGTGTGCAGCCACCATTGGCCACGCCTCCAAGCCCACCCCAGAAAGAGCAGGGCAGAGAAAGCTGTCTTCAGGGCACAGGCTCTGCCTGCCCACGGTCCCCTCCGGAATTCTACCACCACAGATGTCCCACGGCTGTGTGGGAGGGAATGGGCCAGCAGGCCGCAAACGCCAAGTCCAGCCTGAGTGGTGGCCGCACACCGATGGCAGCCCTGGTGGCTTCCACCTGCTACCACCAGGGGACCAAGGGTTTTTCTCTTGCCCAAAGGGTGCCCTGGACTCAGCCCTTCCTTTTAGGAGGACTCGCAGGGAGCCACAGGAAGGAGAGGATAAGGCTGGGGCCACAAGCACCTCTGGGAAGTCACTGTTAGGCCCAGAACGCAGTTGGTTTGTCCTTATCGGTCTTGGACAGCTGTGGAAGAGACCGTTTTACACGTGCGAGGCCTTCTCAGGCGCGGATCCCCTGGGAGTAACGCAGAAACAGCAGCGCCCTGTGGTCAAAGTGCAGATAGGAAATTTTGGGTCAAACAGCACGAAGACGAAAATGTCCTGCCTGGTCAGTCCAGTACGGTGAGAAGAGTGTGTCTGCATTATTAAATTTGTCAGGCTGAGGACCTGGGGCTGCTTTCTTTCGGCTCTTTCTCCCAGGCCTTAAAAGCTACTGTCATAGAGCAGTGACAGCCAGCTGAGTGCCCAGGAATGGAGCGAGAGGCCAGCTGGCTTCCAAGGAGGCAAAGGACGGTGCCGTGAGGAGAGGAGGGTCTCCTCTGCGGGATGCCAGATGGCTGCGCCCAGGAGGAAGACATGGACCTCACTTCCCACCGCAGACGTGGGCCGAGGACCTAAGTGTACGAGTTGGAGCTCAAACTGCAGACTCAGAGGAAAACGAGCAAGTACTGTAATCTCGACTTTGGATCTAGACCCTTAGGAACAACACCAAGAGTGAGTGCAGCAAGCAGCAAAAGAAAAGAGGATGCAGTTAATTTACTAGAATTTAAAACACTTGTGCCGGGGATGGTGGCACAGGCCTGGAATCCCAGCACTCGGGAGGCTGAGACAGGAGGACCTGAGCTACATAGTGAGTTCCAGGTCAGTCTCAGCTACATAGTGAGACCCTGTCTCAAAAAAACCAACCAAACAACAAATAACGAAACGCGTGCGTCATAGACCACTGCCGCCTCCCCACTCGTCACGTGATGCCCTGTGTCACCTTGGGCTTCTGCCAGCAACGAGGCCAACTCGGATCTGGCCTCCGACCTCGCCATGAGCCCATAGGAAGTTCTTTTTTTCATAAAGTTTTAAAACAAGAAGACCACACACACGGAGGAAGAGAGGAGACTGCCCGCAGAGCAGCCAGGGTCCCTCCCAGGGCACGGCGGGTGTCCACACACACACCAAGCAGAAGCAAGCCCCACAGGTGGGCGGTGGGCTCCCGGCCTCCTCCGGCCGTCCGGGGTGACTCCCCACCCTTCCCCGTGGATCTCGCGGGGGATTTGGCCACGGCTCCCTTGCTGACAGTGTCACTAGGTCAGAGATCTCGGGATGGCTCAGGGCGCCCCTGGTATCCGGGGCCAGCTCGGTGCTTTGGCGGGCACTGGCCTCCGCACTGGAGGCCTTTTCTCCTGCTCCTCCTGTGAAATGAAAAGCAGAAGACAAAGCAGAGACTGATGGTCCCAAGGCTCTTGATCTCAAGGCCGCTACACCCATGGAGGTTGCAGTGCCGGGAAGAGGAGCTGCGGAGACTCAGCTGCCTGCACCTGCCCGTCTGAGTCTCAAGGCAGATTCCGTGGAAGCAGCGTCGGCCGCACCTCCCTGCCCTGCGCCAAATTCTGTCTCTGTAAAATTCTGCTTGTTTCCCCACCCTGCCTGAGGGCAAGGTAAAAATGAAAACTGGGCCGGGGATTCAGCTCAGTGGCTCTGCCGCCTGCCTCGTAAGCCCAAGAGAACTCGAGTTCGATCCCGGTACCAAAAAAAGAAAACAAGCAGAATTGGGCCCAGACCCTGGAAGGTGACTCCCCGGCGAGTAAGCCTCCTATGCTGCAGCTCCCTGAGCGCCACTACCATCCGGGTCTGCGGGCCCCAGGGCACCCGCCCCCATCACATCTTCACCCGCGCTGCAAGCCGGGGCTCAGGGCCCTCCGGACCCCACCCGGAGCTGGCTGTCCACAGCACACGGCGCAGGACGCGGCGGACGTCTGGTCCTCCGGAGTCGTTGCACCCTGCTTGGGGGGAAGAGCCTCCAGGGGTCTCCAGAGACCCTGCACCTGACGCACCACCCCAGCTGCCTATAGGCCACGTCTACCGGCCCTGGGGTCACTCAGCGGCAGCTCTCTGGGGTGCTGCCGGAAAGTGGGCTTCACACTCCCCGAAATCTAGAGGTCCCCCGGTTGCGATGTCTCTGGGGCTTTGAGTCTCACAGCTCCGGCCCCTTGTCGTTGGGTGCTTGGTGGCCCCATCTGCTACTCCTGTAAAGCTTGGGTTGGCCGGATGCTTCCTGGCTTTCTGGAGAAGACTTTCTGTGTCATAACCCCTGTCTGGTCAGTGCTGCATGCACAGGTGAGCTGTTCGGTTCCTGAGAACACCCTTCCTTGGCAAAGCCAGGAGGTGAAATTTTTGCCGGATTTGACCTCTGCTTTGGAATGTGGTGTGCAGATGTGATGGATGGTGCCACGGCAGTCGTCTTAAAGCCATGAGGGGAACTAAAGGAACCAGAACAACCACAGCCCAGAGCCCTGTATGTTCTTACATGAGGAAGAGACAAAAATTTCTTTACGACTTTGCTGGCCATGTTTCCCATACCTTGCAGCTGCATGCATTCCAGTGACGTCAATTGCATTCCCTTCAGAGGTGAGAAGGTCCTTAGATTTTGCAGAGAAGGGGACAGATTCCCCCTTTGGTGTCTCCCACGGGGATTCTCTTCTTGTTTTCTGTACCTGGGGCTGCACGTGGGGGCAACAGGAGCATCCCTCGGCCTGAGGCCGAGCCAGGCGTGGGCATGGGCACCCTGGCAGGGCGGTCAGCCACCACCTGCCATCCATGGCTTCCACGTGGGAGGAGTCAGCGTTTCTCCAGCGCAGGGGTGTGCAGGGTAGCCATGGCGACAGCCGGGGCCACAGCAGGCTCTGAACCTG